CGAGTTGAGCTGTGGGCACTGCCCTCTGTGCCTCAGCCCTCCCACCACACACGCCCAGAGAAATGGCTTCCTCTCACCCCATAGTACTTATTTTTCAGCCTTTTGGAAGAAGAGGAGGTATGGAGAACGGGCTGGGCTGGTATCACTCAGGGAGGCGGTTTTGGGGAGGCTGGGGCTTGAATCTCAATGTCGTGGTGGAGTCGGTGCAGAGTCTGGAGTCCTGTCTGTCTCCATAGACCCTCCCCTCCGCAGATACTGTCAGGGGCCAGCAGGTGGCGGAGTGAGTACGTTGCTGGACTCCCACATGGTCAACTAATTTCAGTCCTGCACTCGGTGGCTTCGAAATCATGCTGGGTGTGTGTGAGTGCATGCCCAAGATCCCAGGACGAGAACGAAGGAGAAAAGGTTGCAGTGTGGCCATCTCCTCTGGGGGGTGATTTTTCACTTCCCTTCTCGCTATCTTTGTCTGTCTGTCTTTCTCTCTCTCCCCCCAGTGAGTGCACAAGCCATAAGGCAAAAACCTCTAAAAATAAAAAGCAACTATGTATCAGGCCAGCTTCGTGGCTCAGTGGTAATGCACTGCTCAAAAGAAGCCAGTGACGACCAAGGTTCAGATCCTCAGCCCGGTGGGCCAGAAACACACTAGACACGCGTGTTGTGTCCAAGACCTGGTAGGCTTGGAGGCATGGAGGAAGGGAGCGACTGTGGCATGACCAGACCCTGCGGAGCCTGCTCCTGTCTCGCTCTCACTGGCACCCTCATGGGCATTTTCTCTATTCGCAGTAGTGAATGACGAAACCCTTCAGTTTAAGTCTTTGAGCCCTTACACCAGAGGCAGAGGTGATCCGTCGTCTCCACGGCAGCGTGAATGAGTTTCAGATATTTTTCTGAGAAGTATGTCAGAATTCTGCCCCCTTCATGCCCTCTCTGGGCACTTGTATATGTGCAAACCTCTTTTTTTGGGGGGGAGAGGGTTTTTGCTATAGGGCGCGTGCGCTTCCCAAAAAGACAGAGAGAGACAGAGAGGCAGAAAGCGAGAAATCACCCCCCCGGGGGATGGCCACGCTGCCATCCCTTCTCCTCCATTCTCCTCTCGGGATCTTGGGCACGCACGCACACGTGCCCGGCGTGAGTTTAAGCCACCAGGTCCAGGACTCGGACCGTGGTCGACTACATGGGAGTTCAGAGACAGCCATTATGCCAACTGCTGGTCCCCATATGTGCAAGCCTCTTGAAGGAAGAGCCTGTGTCTTCTGTGTCCCCATCATCTGGCACCGTGCCTGCATGAAACAGGTGCCAGGAAATGCTTGCTGACCTGAATGAATGGGGCCGGCGGAGGTGTGGCGGTTAGGCGACTGGATCCCACATGACCGACTGCATGGTTCAAGTCCTGCACTCAGCAGCCTGAAAACCATGCCAGGTGTGTGTGCCCAAAATCCCAAAAGGAGAAATGGAGGAGGGAGAATTGTGGCATGGCCATCCGCCGGGGTGTTCAGGTTGGCCTGGCGCTGAGCTGGGTGGGCTTCCCATGCGGCTTTCAGCCTCACAAGCAGTGGTGCAACGTGCGTGCCGTCGTGGCTAGGCCGCAAGTGCCGTGCATATTTATTTAATGGATGCGGCTCAATGAGCTTGGGGCTCTCTCCCTTCCTTTTGAGATACTTCTTAGAAGCTAACAGAATGAAATATCCATTTGTCCCATGGCTCAGGACATAGTCACATGACCACAGCTAGCTGCCAGGTAGGCTGGGAAGTGTAGTCTTTACTCCGAGTGGCCAGGTGGCCCTCCGAAAAGTCAGGGCTCTTATTGTTAAGAAAATGAGAGACAAAGGACATTGAGAGCCAAAGAGCAGCCTCTGCCACGCTTCAGGGCAGAGCAGCCCCTGCAGTCAGCACTGAGGGCGTCTGTCGGGTGCATCCAGGTTACTTCACAGAGGCCCAGCCAGCGGAGGGGCCTCGCAGGTGGCGGGATCTGGAAGGCTGCCAGAAACCAGGGCCGGCCCTCTGGCAGCCTGGGTGTCATCAGCCTCTCTGTACACCCCTGCTTTGTTCTTCTCTCTGTCCGTGGTGGGAACGACTTCTCCGCTTTAGGAGAAAGAACCTGACTGATCCAGCACGGGTCAGGTGTCCAGCCCTGGGCTGTAAATCCTGGCTGGGACAAACCAGGTGGCAAAGGCTTACCTCTAGGGGAGGGGCGAGGAGAGGAGGGCCGTTCCTGGAGGATGGGTGACCCGGGGAGGGAGGCATCCTCAGAAGGTGTACAGTATGGGCATGACCCTCGCGGGCCTGTGTCCTAGGACTCGGCAGATTGTCATTCACTTATTGAGTGACTCCGGTGTGCTAGGTGCATGGAGCTGCCCTCGGGGGTTGTTCTGAACATGTTCAGAAGTTCATAGCTCTCACCTGCACTTGGGGTGAAGTCAGAGCTCGTTAAATCAATCATGTTTAACTTCGCCAAGTCTGAGGTGGAGATCGAGGGCTCTGGAGAACACACTCCCATCCAGGTCTTGGGCATTCGAGAGCCGTCCAGGTCTCTCTTCTTGTCTTTGTCTCTCAGTAAGAAGTATCTTCTTTCTTTCTTTTTAGAATTATTTATTTCATTTTATCAATTATCATGATCTTTTTCATTTATCTTTTAGAGAGATTTTGCTATAGAGCATATGTGCTTGTTGGAAAGACAGAGACAGAGAAACAGAAAGTGAGGAATCACTCCCTAGGAGAGATGGTCACACTGCAATCCCTTCTCCTCCATTTTCCTTTTGGAATTTTGGGCATGCACACACATGTGCCCGGCATGAGTTTTAAGCTGCTGGGTC